TGTGTGTGTGTGTGTGTGTGTGTTTGTGAGTGAGTGTGTGCGCGTGTGTGCGTTTGTTGTGAAGGATGAGTATAGGAGTGTGTGTCTCCTTGCGTGTGCACGTTGCAGGTTGCATGCATGAATGTGCGTGTACGTAGACAGAGGTAGTTGTGCAATATGAAGTGGTGATGAAGGTGGAGCCTTATCAGGACAGACACACAGTGAAACGATTGCTTACACACACACACACACACACACACACACACACACACACACACACACACACACACACACACCGAGAGAAAAAGAAGGTCTCAACTCATTGGAGTATTGATGTGCTTCAACCTTGTCTGTTTTCTTGCGTACACACACACACACACACACACACACACACACACACACACACACACACACACACACACACACACACACACACACACACACACACAAACACCCTGAGGGCATTAAGCACATTATTGACACGTCTCTAAATGATGCAGTACATTTTAAATCAAGCAATGCCTCTTTTATACACAGAAGCTGTTAAACCTGTCAGTATGGATTATTAGGACTCTGTAGAGCCAAGTTTGAAAATTAACAATAAATACAAAATATGTTTTTTTTTATTTAAACTGATTTTTTTAAAGACTGATGAAGTCTGACCTAAACATATATCATTTCACAGAACACCTTTAGGATACCGTTACCTGTCAATTCATAATTAAACTTTATGTATATTTATGTACCATTATACTACAGTACAGATATTTAGGTACATTTTTGGCCCTTGAAAACTTAATGATGTCCAATCCAAGCACATTGTTTGAATTTAATATCAACATTGCATCCAAACAAAAGAGATTTTTTGGAGCTACAGGGTGAGTCAAAAGTCTCAGGACACACTTTTATTTCAGAAAACCAAAAGGAGAATAAAACATCTGAATACCTCACTGAGTAATGTGTGAGGGAGCAATATTTTAGGATATTTATTTATTTAAAAGGATAACTCCTTGAGCTGTACAATCTCATTTTCAAGGGGTTCTATCAAGGGCATTTGTCCAGAACTTGGCCGCCATCTTAAAATCTTAAAAGCTGCCATATTGGATCAAAGGTGAGTTTGTCCAATAGGAAGGTGATCTTTTAGCATACCAAAGACCAGAATTGTCTCAGAAATGGATTGCCACAAACAGATTTGCAATGTCTCTTGTGGTTCAAATGGTAAACACAGAAAGTTGCAACATCAATAACTGGGAACATTGCCTGTGATGCAGTTATCTGATGTGTTCAATGGGCTGTCCCTGGTGCTGAACGCACACACCTGTGACGAAAAACACAAGTTTACAACGTTCTGTTCATAACGTCTGAACCACAAGAGATATTGATCATCTGATTGCAGAAATCCATTTCTGAGAAGATCCTGGTCTTCACTAATGATACACAAACTCCTTCACGTTGGAAAATCTTGACTTTGATCAAATATGGCARCTTTCAAGATGGCCTTCAAGTTTTCCACCCATCACTTGCTGGGGTACTCAGATATTTCATCTTTTCTTTTGTTTCTGGAATTAAAGGGTGTCCTGAGAATTTTGAATCACCCACTCAGCTGCTCTGATCTGCTTCTGACAGAGAAACACACAGCAGGGGATTCGTTCAGCACTCCGGGTGTTTTACTAGTGAAATATCTAAAACTGACACGTTAGTGAGACCACATGAGTTTTACATCAACAGAAGAGGGCAGGTTGTCACCAAATCACAACATTTTCAGTGAAATAAAAAGCTGTGCAAAATGAAGGAGACCAGTAGTTGGTAAATATTACAGAAACCTGCAGGGTTTTTATTTATTACCACCTGTTATTAAAGTCTGTGCAGTTATGGCTTCTTCTGAATCTGGAATCAAACTAAAGCCACTTTTTCCCCTCCTCAGCCTTTCCTGCAATAATTGAAGTGAGCACATCTGTAAAATGGCGCACATGTGTAAAAATATCATTYCTACAAATTGCACTTTTGTCAACTTAAAATAAAACTACATTATAACTCTTTGATTAAAAGATTTTAAAACAAATACAAAAGCAGCAGACTGCAGGATCAGTTCTTACAAAGTAAAAACAAAAACAGAGCAAAAGCTCACAAAACATATTTAGTGGCTATTATACCGAAAACCATGAAAAACACACAGACCAAAATCAAATAAATTAGGTTGGACGCTCCTTTAGAGACACGTTACACAAACGGGCAGTAAATGATCACATTTTGTCCTAAAAAGGATCAAATATTTTTGCACTCAAATACTGTCCCATGAAGATGCTGGTAGTTTTCTTTACAAGGTTTCAACCAAAAGATCAACTTAATTAAAATACGTGAATTATACGAACATCACTGCCCACGAGCACACCAAGTCAGCTGCATTCATTTCTGCAACCAGCATAATGCAAATTCATGTTGCAGAAAAATGCTATGCTATATTGAGTTTAAGCAAGAAATCTGTGACACGAGAAAACTGAACAAAAAATGACCGTGTTAAAAATTCTCTTTCTTCTGGCTCACGTTTTCCCACGAATAACAAAAATCAGATCGTCCAGACTTCACAGAGAGAAGGCAACATTAAAAAGGCATCAAAGCCAGTTTGACATAAAAAAAAGTTTTAAAAAATGGTTTGTTTACAGCCGACATGAGTGCGTCTTTTTAAGATGTTAGACCTTTTTCACCGTCTCCAGTCAAAACCTCTCGGGAGGACAACACAAACAGGTTATTAGTCACTTAAAAATAATCAGTCTCACATTTTAAACAAACACAAAAATACCTGAACTGAAATCACATGACCGACAATATAAAGTAGATTTAAATGTGTATCATTTTGCTTCGCTGTTTCGTTGTTGCACCAAGCAGCAACACATTCACAACTAATGAATGCCTGAACAAAAGTTTAAAATGAAAATGATTAAAATAACTGATTGTATGTTCCCACGCTGTTTCCTCTGGAACAAACATCATTTATCCTGCGCTCTCCCAGGAAGTTTGAGTTAAAGATTAGGGTTAAAAATGTCACAGGGTCCATGTTTATCCTTTTTTTTACCAGTGCCTTGAATCCACCAGCTCAGGACGCAGGCTCAGTTTTTTCAGCGTCTCGTAGCCAACAACCATGACGATGGCGGTGGGCGTGGAGGAAATGATGCGTGCCGACAGTCCTTTGGTTAGTCCCCAGAAGCCCTCCTCTTTGATCAGCTGCTTGAACGTCTCGATGACTGAAGTTCTCCCTTCAACCTAAACGAACAGTCAGTGAGGGCTTATTATTTACAACCACATCCCAGATAATAACTGATAACTAGGGTTCAGTGTGTAGTGTTGATGTCTTACCACTCTGGGTTCAGAGCAAAAACAACAACTAAAAAACTAATCATTTTCATTCCAGCATGAATTTTTTAAAATGTGAAGAGATCCATGCAATTAGCCGTTTGACCGTCTGAGGGACGAAAAGCATAAATGCAAACTTTTGAGCAAACTTTTTTTGTAGTTTATGCAGTTTTTGCAGTATGCATATTACACAGGCTGTCATCGTGATGATACATTTTCAATATATTATGCAGCCCTAACTAGGGTTGCACCGATACCACTGTTTTTACAAGTCCTCATTCAAAATGCATCGATACCAAAACCCTTTTTTTTGCGTGGATGTTCACATTTTAAATGTAACCTTCATTGGACTCCAGTGTTCATGTTGTTAATGCGACACGCATGCTACGCCATGTGCATGAGAAAAACTAGTATTGGTGCATCCCTAATACCGAATAACTATACTGTATTTTTTATTGAGCTGTAAAACCTTTTTTTTAGTTTTGCATAATGTGTCAAATTCCATATTTAATAGTGTAATACAGTGAAACAAAACTCGTTCATAAATGATGACATTCTTTACGATAAGTAAACAACGATAACACAACATAGTTGCTGTATGATTTGGAACTGAACAGTTTTTAATTTGTATTTGTTTAAATTGTGTAGAAACAATTTGTACTGTACTTTAGGGCTGGGCGGTATGACCTCAAATTCATATCATGGTATAAATTGAATACYTTCACGGTAACGGTATATATCGCGGTAGAAAATTATCATAATAAGTTAAGATAATGTAATTTTTAGAGCATTTTTTTGCAGAAAACTGTAATCTTGATTAAATCCAACATTTTTGCTTTAATATCTGCCTGCTGAACTTATCAGCTGCTGCTCTGCTGTGCGCTCATCTTCTTCATCATCATCATCAGAGCGGAAGCCGACTTTACATTAGCAAGATGGATTTACGACTGAACAAACATCCACGTCATTTTTTTAAAATAATCTCTGTGGGTACATATAAAACTTTTTTTTCTCTGACAATTGGGTGTTAAAAACTACAGTTGTTAAAGCTTCGCTCTGCACGACGTGCAGCGACAGGAGAGGAGAGGGAAGGAGGAAATGATCCTGCGACACTACGTAACTTTTCTACAGCGGGAGGAGGAAATTTTGAGGATTTATCCTCTATACGTGTTTTAAAACACTAGAATTTCTTCATTATATTTCGAACTCCTGCTCAGTTGTCTCTGCACTCGCAGCCCTGTTCACACAGGTGCGATAATGTAATGATGATAGGATGGTAGAGTATAAATTTCAACCGTAGGCCAACTTCATACCATTTCTACCATACACCGCATATACCGCGCAACCCTACTATACTTAAAAGAAAGGTAAAATTGTGTGTTTACTGGAAAGAGTGAAGGAATGCTGTGCCTAAGTAGGAGGGGCTAGTGAGTTCCTACCAACACAGAGGAGGCGGCTAGAGAATGTGTTTAGTGGTTACAGTGAAGGTAAGTGGGAATAAGAGGAACAGAGTGATTGTGTTCAGTTTTGTTATTCAGGGAAGACAGGTTTTTTTTCACTCTGGAAAAGGAGATACAGTGGGGAGAACAAGTATTTGATACACTGTTGATTTTTCAGGTTTTCCCACTTGCAAAGCTTGTAGAAGACTGTAACTTTTATCATAGGGACTCTTCAACTGTGAGTGAAGGAATCTAAAACAAAAATCCAGAAAAATACAATGTATGATTTTTAAATAATTAATTTCCATTTTATTGTGTGAAATAAGTATTTGATACACCAGAAAAATTAAACTTAATATTTGGTACAGAAACCTTTGTTTGCAATTACAGAGATCAGACGTTTCCTGTAGTTCTTGACCAGGTTTGCACACACTGCAGCAGGGATTTTGGCCCACTCCTCCATACAGATCTCCTCCAGAGCCTTCAGGTTTCGGGGCTGTCGCTGGGCCACACGGACTTTAAGCTCCCTCCAAAGATTTTCTATTGGATTCAGGTCTGGAGACTGGCTAGGCCACTCCAGGACCGTAAGATGTTTCCTACGGAGCCACTCTTTAGTTGCCCTGGCTGTGTGTTTTGGGTCGTTATCATGCTGGAAGACCCAGCCACGACCCATCTTCAGTGCTCTTACTGAGGGAAGGAGGTTGTTGGCCAAAATCTCACGATACATGGCCCCATCCATCCTTCCCACAATATGGTGCAGTCGTCCTGTCCCCTTTGCAGAAAAGCATCCCTAAAGAATGATGTTTCCACCACCATGCTTCACGGTTGGGATGGTGTTCTTGGGGTTGTACTCATCATTCTTCTTCCTCCAAACATGACGAGTGGAGTTTAAACCAAAAAGTTCTATATTTGTCTCATCAGACCACATGACCTTCTCCCATTCCTCCTCTGGATCATTCAGATGGTCATTTGCAAACATCAGAYGGGCTTTGACATGCGCTGGCTTGAGGAAGGGCACCTTGCGTGCACTGCAGGATTTTAATCCTTGACGGCGTAGAGTGTTACTGATTGTTTTCTTTGAGACTGTGGTCCCAGCTCTATTCAGGTCATTGACCAGGTCCTGCCGTGTAGTTCTGGGCTCATTCCTCACCTTCCTCAAGATCAATGATGCTCCACGAGGTGAGATCTTGCATGGCGCCCCAGACCGAGGGAGATTTTCCGTTATTTTGTATTTCTTCCATTTTCTAATAATTGCACCAACTGTTGTTGCCTTCTCACCAAGCTGCTTGCCTATTGTCCTGTAGCCCATCCCAGCCTTGTGCAGGTCTACAATTTTATCCCTGATGTCCTTACACAGCTCTCTGGTCTTGGGCATTGTGGAAATGCTGGAGTCTGATTGATTGAGTGTGTGGACAGGTGTCTTTTATACAGGTAAGAGTTCAAACAGGTGCAGTTAATACAGGTAATGAGTGGAGAACAGGAGGGCTTCTTAAAGAAGAACTAACATGTCTGTGAGAGCCAAAATTCTTACTGGTTGATAGATGATCAAATACTTATTTCACACAATAAAATGGAAATTAATTATTTAAAAATCATACATTGTATTTTTCTGGATTTTTGTTTTAGATYCCATCACTCACAGTTGAAGAGTACCTATGAAAAAAATTACAGTCATCTACAAGCTTTGCAAGTGGGAAAATCTGAAAAATCAACAGCGTATCAAATACTTGTTCTCCCCACTGTAAATGCTGGAATGATCTACAGTTTGCTGACTTGTCATTGGGTTTGCTTGGACAATATTTCACTCAGTTTCAAGAAAAGTTTGTTTGAAGAAGAACCCTGTGACACGGATCAATAAAGAAATTGGATTCTGCCATTCCAGACTGGAAAAACCACAGCAGAACTGAATACATGCAGACATATTAAAGTTTAAATTTAAACCACCTGCACTCTGGCTCTGACCACATCCATTGGGTTGGTGACGGTGGAGGCAGTGGCAGCAGCTAAAGGTCCAGCCATGGCTTGAAGGACCAGGTGAGGGCAGTCACTGGGAGCCAGTTTAGAGAGTTGCTCTGTTGAATTTAACACACAAGTCAAATATTTTAACAACACACTGTCCTTGAAATATTTCATTCACATTCTGCCGTGCTTATGAATAAGACTCCTTCCTGATCTGAAAAAAGGCTGTTTTCTGTACAACTTAGTATATTCAGATGTGCCTGGGGGAAACAAACAATAACATTTTTTAGATGCAATAGACCTCAGGTTTTAATCACATCCCAATCCAACCACTTTCTGCATCACAGGGAGCTGATGCCTAACTTCAGCAGTCACACACAGACAGACAACCACACACACACTTACTTACATGCAGGTACATTAGACTCACCGACTAAACTAACGTGCATGTTTCTGGTCTGTGGGAGGAAACCAGAGTACATAGAGAGAACCCACACATACAGGGAGAATATGCAAACTAAAGCTGCACAATATTTGTAAACACTGACAATATCAAGTAGGGCTGCCACAAACGATTATTTTAATAATCGATTAACCACCGATTATTTATTCGATTAGTCGACTAATCAGACCATACGTTAATTGAATATAAAACATACAGCTTATCACGTCAGAATGCAGCTGCTATTATATAACCATCATTAGATTTTAGCTATATGCTAACTAAAAATAATTGCTGTGGAAGGCAAGTTCTGCTCTGCAGATATTGCACAGGTTTCTCTTTCATTTTCTTAAAAAGTTCCCACATTTTGAGCTCCRTTGCTGGGTAGCCATGATACCAGAGCCTGTCTGTATAATGTCTTGTGACGTCCACGGCCTACCCCAGTTACCACTACTGTGCATGTGTGTCAAGGACAGAAAGGCAGATGTGGCAGTGGAAGGTGTCAAAGCAGTTTGGAGAGAAAAACAAAGTAAAGAAAAAAATAAAAAAGAAAACGATTAATCGATTATTAAATTAGTCATCGATTATTTTAATAATCGATTAGTCGCGATTAATTGATTAATCGTGGCAGCCCTAATATCAAGTGTGATACACATCTTTTTTATTTCCTCTCTTTCTAATCTGTACTTCCTACWCTGTGACCTTTAGCATTTTTGGCAAAGTCATTTGTCTCTGCTGTGAGCTTTTACTGTTGTGAGACTCAGGCTAAATATTACATTAGCAAGAAAAACAGAACTTTTCAAATACATCAGTCAACAGAACTCCAAGAAGTCCTTTGCTATACGAGTATTGCATTGATATTGTGATGATRATATATTTGCAATAGTATTGTGCAGCTCTAATGCAAACGCTACCCAGAAAGACCTCAGGCCATGAGGTGATTCTGTGACCTTCTCACTGAGAGGTGACAGCTCTAATCACTGCACCGCCCACATCACAACCATTTAATTCACTATTTCCTCACCAGCCTTCATCTGTTGAGGATGCTCTAAAGGAGGCTCGCTCCACACTGTGAAAACAACTGATTCAAAAGAAAGAAAGGGAAAAAAAACATTGGTCTCTGTGCTTACCAGCATAGAAGTGATAGAAAGGCCACCAGACTGCACTGTTTGGGATGTATGTAAGTAAAGAAGCCACGTATCCCCTGTAGAATCCCCGCAAGCCATCTACAGCAAAAATCTGAGCCATAATATTTCTGGTTTGGCCAAAAACTTTTTTCGCCTTTCCAGCGTCTGAGTCAGTAGGGAGTCGAAAGCGAGTGAGGTGCTGCCCTTGGCCCTGCATCATCAGCTGCTGCGACACCACGTCTATGGGTACAGTGATGCTCTGAGCAACCAGGGAAGCTGAGCCCCCCGCCACAAGCGACTTGACTGTATTGTCCTCAGAATACTGGGAAACGTATTTCCTCACCAGCTCATAGGTGGTGATGTAAGCCTGGCCTGAGATGAGCGTGAAGGTGTTGACCATGAAGCCGCGGTACAGGCCTCCAACTCCCTCCGCCCGCAGGATCTTGAAGAAGGCATCAAAGGTGCCGCTGTAGAGCGACTTTCCTCTCTGCACTTGCAGCCGAGTGCGGATCAGTGTAGCTGGGTAGACGGTGGCCCGGATGGTCATTGTCATAAATAACCCGAACGAGTAGAAYTTCTTTTTATCAAGGTCCTCCCACTCAATGATCTGAACGTTCCTCTTCTGCTGCATCCTGCCTGTTGTGAGCGGCCCCTCATCAGACTAAAACAAATAATAACAGAGTGATTAGTAGGGGGTCCAATATTAACCACAAAATGAATATCAGATTATATCGGCCTGCATCTAAAATCTCTGATGTATGCACTCATTTTTATTTATTTTATTTAATTGTAAAATATTCTTAGGTTTAATTTAAAAATTATGTAACCCATTGGTTATTAATAAATGGATCAGTATTTCTCATACTTACTGTTGTTTACCAGTGTTTGACTTGATCAAGATTTTTTGAGATTCCACATTGAGTCGTTCTGATTTTGTATCGGGTCAGTATCATATCAGAAGTGAAAAAGATTAGAAAGTGAGCAATTCCGTATTGTTAAAACACAGTTCACCACTACACGGATAGAGAACCACTGATGCTAATTTAATTCTTGCAAAACCAGCTCCTAACAATGTGAGTCAAGTGTGAACAAGAAAACACACGCAAATAATTGATTTACTTTTTTAAAATGTGACCATCTGCTCAAACTGACTGTAATTATTGAATATATCAGCACATAGTGTACTCAGCAGGTGATGATGATTAATACATGTATCCATCTTTAATCTGACTGAAGATATCTGAGCCTGCACAGCTGGTTAAAAGCTACTACAATGTTTCACTTATCTCTGATTGCAACATGATGATACAAAGGTCAGGGCCGGCTAAAGCTAGCAGAGTTAACCTGAATGAAAGAAGCTGCCTTGGTCATAACATGGAGTGTTTTTGTGGTATTTCAGTAAATTTGTTGTGTTTAAATATCATCACGTTTGAGTCCAGAGGACACGGCGCTCCTGARCCGGTGACGGAAATGGTCGTGTTGTGGACAACAATAACAACAACAAAATTAGTCAACCATTTTCATAGCTGCATTTTTATAAAGATATATATATCAGCCTATTTTCTGGCTGTTAAACATGTCTGTAATAGTAGGCTAACTTCTTGGGTTCGCTTGTAAAGAATTAGCATTAGCATTACTTAAAAGAAAACAATATAAAAATCACTTACCTCTCTGAATGAATTTTATTTTGTTATTAAGGCATACCCTGGATAGGTTCGGTGCCTTGAAAACCACATTAACTGGTATCTAAAACTCCGTACCACTAGTACACTTCACTAAATAACGAATAACCTTCTCATCTCTTGCTGTCATAGCTCTTCCTGCTCCCATTCAAACGCCATGCTGCCCAGTGAACCAATCACGTGCCAACTCGCTTCTTCTTCGTTGGTGGCTTCTGGTAGTCTTTTAGGCGCATTACTGCCACCTGTAACCTTTCATTTTGTTTCTAGTTTTTACTCTTATCGCCTTCGAAACAGAGATTTTGAATTTGCATTTACTGTGTCCCTATAGTTGAAGTGGTTTTCCACAACATTTTTTTCATGTTCATTACAGATTCTTACCCGTTTCAGTAAATTGATCGGTCCTCCCAGAAGCAGATGGCGCTGCTAAGCGGTGCTCTGTTTGACAGGACGCCGGTGGACGAGCAAGGAAACACCAAACTGAAAGTAGCAGCGGACCATTCAGTTGAGCATAAGTGCGTCAAGTTATACAGTTTAATTTAAGGTAAAAGTAAAGTAATGCTTTCATGTATCTTGTGCTGATTTATAACTTCACCTAACATTATTTTCTCGGTGACTTCGTGAGCCTAAATAAAAAAGTTAACACAGGTAGAAGCGGTTGGTTAGCATGCTAATGTGTTAGCATGCTAATGTGTTAGCATGCTTCGATATTGCAGATTCATTCTGGTGCACCACTTAGCTTCAACAGTGAGCGTCTGTCTTACAGGTTTCATAAACATTTACTTATATTTAGTTTGGGTGAATTTCAAAGATGAAACATTTTTCTCTTTCGTGTGTCAGTAATACGCTGCCAATAATAAAAACACATTTGAGAGTTTTTGTTGTTTTCTTCTGATATCTGTTTTTGTTCATAACAACCCTTTCGCTTTTTCTTTTTTAGGATAAATCCAGTGGCCTGAGAAAATGGTTTGTTACTTTTTATATCTTGCAAATATTTCCACTGTTTTAATTGTATAAATAGAGTTCATAGGTTGTTGCTTGTTTTAATACTTTGGGTTTTGTTTAGTCTCGCAGATATGACTCTCGGACAACCATATTTTCACCTGAAGGCAAGATTTGTTTTCTTTTTTAACATTCAGTTAAACATATTCAAGCTTTGCTTAAATTAAGCTAACGCCTTAATTTTATTGTTTTAACACTTCAAAATACATACAAGAAAGAAAATTAACACTTTTTTTGTAGCAATATGATAAAAATAATAATATGTTTAAATAATGCAAAACTAGAATTCAGCGTGTATTAAGTGGACCCTGAGCATCCATTGTTCAATAAATGTAACAAGTCTCAACTACTGATGCACAACAAAATTATTTAAACTGCAATAGAAGTCCCAAAACAACCACATAAAAAGATATATATATAAGCACAGTAGTGGCACTTTGTAAAATAGTATTAACTGATACAATCAAGTAGTCTGTTTATTTATTAGTTTAAACCATGCTTACCATACACCCTTTGCCTGTAATTTGCAGGACGCCTGTACCAGGTGGAGTATGCTATGGAAGCTATTGGTCACGCAGGAACGTGTCTGGGGATCCTGGCCAACGATGGCGTGCTGTTAGCTGCAGAAAGACGCAACATCCACAAACTGCTTGATGAGGTTTTCTTCTCTGAGAAGATCTACAAGCTCAACGAGTGAGTGGACCGTAGCATTCTCACATAGTGTGGATTTGTTTGTGTGGGGGGGTGAGGCTCATGTTTTGTGTTCATCATTTCAGAGATATGGCGTGCAGTGTTGCTGGGATCACGTCAGATGCTAACGTACTGACAAATGAGCTGCGGCTAATTGCACAGAGGTCAGTGTCGGGGAACACTCACCCAACCAGTATCAGTGACTTTATCACCGTTCTCTAAGTAGCAGTAGTTAAACAGCCGTTTGTTTATTCATCATGTTTCATTTGTAGCTGGATAACAAACAGATGAAACAACAAATGTCTTAAGAATTTTTTTTTACAATTTTTTTTTGGCAAAATGAGTAACAATGAGAAATTTTTGATTTATTTAAAATTCTCCATCTCAAAAGCTTCAAAATGATACATAGTTTGTTGAAACTTGACCAACCGGGCTAGCAACATGCTAGTTTTGTTTATTATAGTGTCTGTTTGAAAACCTGATTTTTATTGGTCTAGACTCTAGAATGATGTCATCAGGAATTCAAGCTCTATATTTAAACATTTTAATCTTCAAGCTTCACAATGATGCCTTACATTATATGAAAGGATTTCCCAGTGCTATGGCAGCTGGCAGAGAAAAGTAATTACTAGACTAAAAATAAAAGATTACCAAATATGACTTGTTGGAGAACTTCAATTTAAAAGTATATATTATGAAAATGTGATGTTTTAGTTAACAGTATCCCTAGATCTTTATGGATTCATGTTTATTCAAATCTCAATACTGCAAAAATCAATATTTTCACTTATTTTGCACTGCATCCTCATTTTGAGTAATTTTACCAGCATGGGTCACCTTCCAAAATGTCTGCCAGCACCACTGAGTGTTTGACTTGTCTTCAGGTATTTATTGCAGTACCAGGAGCCAATCCCATGTGAGCAGCTGGTCACAGCTCTGTGTGACATAAAGCAGGCCTACACACAGTTCGGAGGTACGATGCGCTGCAGGCTGCTTCATGTTGCCCGAGGTTTCCGGTCCAACACAATGTGAGTCTCACCTGTTCTGTTCATTTGCACAGGTAAGAGACCGTTTGGCGTCTCGCTGCTCTACATAGGTTGGGACAAACACTATGGATTCCAGCTGTACCAGAGTGACCCCAGCGGAAACTATGGAGGCTGGAAAGCAACCTGTATTGGCAACAACAGCGCTGTAAGTTTGAAACAGCCCTGTTCAGTAACTGATTAAACAGACAATGGGAATTAAAGGGGTTGTTGTTCTGACTCCGAGAAACAAGCTTTCTTTTTTCTTACCTTGGTGTTTTTGATCTGCTGAAGGAGGAAACGGTTGGCAGATTTTTAAAAATGTGTCATGAAACACAGTTTATTTTATAATAAAAATATAGGTTTGTGCAAAAGTCACATCTTTGTTTTAGGGTAAGTGTTCAGTTTCTTGACCAGTGTTTAATTTTTTGGGACATTTTGGCTCCAGGCTGCTGTGTCCATGCTGAAGCAGGACTACAAAGAGGGGGAGATGACTCTGTCTTCTGCTCTGGCTTTAGCCATCAAAGTCCTCAACAAAACCATGGATGTCAGCAAGCTGTCAGCAGAGAAAGGTGAGGTTACAACCATCTGGCTGTTTCATCAGAGCCTTTCTTCTGCCTGATCTGTTTCAAATTTAAACTGCCTGTGACTTGAACATTTTTTATGATAATACAAATGCATCTTTGGAAAGATAACACTGAAAACATTTTACAAAATAATTTTCATGCTGCTGAGATAAACAGTTGTTGAGATATTTGCATGTGAAGTAACAGGAAGTGATGTCAAAGGGGAATGTCTGCATGAAAACACAGCTAAGATAAAATGCTCATCAGCCCAGACTGTGGAGAGGAATCTGATGTTTTAGATTCTTTTGAGTCACCATCAGACAGAAACAAAAAAAGGAGTCAGTTTAAATCATAATGTTTCAATGAACAAAGACCAGTGAGTTATTTTTCTTAAAGGATTTCCCCTTTGATGTCACTTCCTGTTTCCTTTTGGCCGAGCCGAGTTCAAAAGAAAATAGGCCAGTTAAGTGTAGGTAAAATAATGTGTGGCATGCCAAGTTTCTTACACAGAACAAAGTTTTCTTTGACTTTTTGTACCTGAAGGATAAGCATGTCCCAGGCACGTTAAGTAATGTTAAAAGATTTGTAAGTGTGTTGGTGTAAACATTAACGCAAAATTCTGTCATGCTGACTTTCAGTTGAGATTGCCACGTTGACGCGTGAAGATGGAAAAACAAATATCAAGGTGCTGAAACAGAAGGAAGTCGAGGAACTCATCAAGAAGCACGAGGCTGAAGAGGCCAAGGCTGAAAAAGACAAAAAGGAAAAGGAGCAAAAGGAGAAAGACAAATAAGACAGAATATTCACACACACACACACACACCACGTTTCACAATATCCTGTATTGTTTCGTCTTTTTCAATAAACTCTCAGAAACTGACAGACGTGTTTGTCGTTATCAGCTCTGTCCTGTTTAACAGAAAAAAAAATCCTCTTTATGATTTTTAAATGGCTGACACATCCAACCTTTAAAATATATTTTCCTTCTTTATTTCAGCAATAAACTCAAACTTTCAAAATATGCTTATTAAAATAAATATCAGTGTACCTTCTGTTAAACAAGAATCAAATTATTTAGTAAAGCTTTAAAATGTAATTAAACCAACATTTGAAAGAATTATGATTAAAATGGTAATTTATTGTTCCAGTGGATTAAAAGGACAATCAGAAAAATCATCCATCCATCCATTATCTTAACCCGCTTCTTCCTTTAGGGGCCATGGGGGTCATTAGTGCCCATATCCAGCAAGGGGCAGGGTACACCCTGGACAGGCCGCAAGTCCCATCACGGCCACACATAGAGACAACCATTCGCTCTCACAGGAACAATTTAGAGTTACCAGTTAACCTGACAGTCATGTTTTTGATGTGTGGGAGGAAACCAGAGAAAACCCATGCATTACTGTACAGAAAGGTCCCAGGCTGGGATTTGATCCAGCGACCTTGCTGAGACGCATCAGCTCTACCAACTGAGCCACTGCCCCACTCCGCATGTGTATTTTTTAAATTCTTTACTAAATGTTACTCGTGATAACTCATAAATCACAGTATTAGTTATTTGGTCAAAGGTTTTCTAGTAAGCTTCGAAATAATCTTTCTCCACCACAAGATGGCGATAGAGTTCACAGATTAAATGTCCTGAAATATGTTTTTTGGTGTTTTTCTAAAGTAACAGGGCTTCATGATAAAAATCTGTTCTCATCTCCACAAATACAAAAAGAATGTGTAACACCTCATGCTAAAAACTACTGATATTTCTGTGTTTAAAGTATCCTGCTGAAGAGAAAATCATTCAGAAGTAAATACTGAGTTTTCAGATTCTTTTATCAGGTTCGAATCTTCAAACATCTGACTATTCTGCTGGTGAAAGTGACGGCGGTGCGATGAGCTGCACACCATGTAGGTGGTCAGGGTTGGATTGAACTGGTCATTCTGAGGTTAAACTGGGAAAACTCATGTCTGACCTCCACAACCTGACAGTTTGTCTTGTTTGGATGCTTGTGATGTTTGGACACAGGACCAGGTTTTCTGTGTGAGGGAGAGAGGAGTGTTTAAGAGGATGTCTCCACCCTCCTCTCTATGAACATTAAAGTTGATCGTAACTACAGCAGACTTGGTAACAGTCTGATATGTGACACCTCTCAACTCCCAACGATTATCAGGAGTTTCAGTTGAATTGTTTTCATTTGCAGCCAAAGTGATAGATGAGTTATTTCCAGGCTGTTTTTCCTCACTGAGGTCAAACTTATATAATGATTCAAACATTTATTGAGAACTTGATAAAAGGAGAGACTTCTCTTTAATGAAAAGCAGATTTCTGATAAAAGTAGGTGAAAGTGAAGGTCAACCAACYAACACAAATGAGGGCAGCTGGAGAGAGAAGACGAATGTAACAAAAACGGATTATTTTTTTTCCAAACAAAACAACATGAAGCAGCAGGAGGGAACAGTTAATGAGACCAAATGCAAAGGAACCAGAAACAGAACATGAATAAAATTAAATAAAATATCTTAGGGTGGTTAAAATTGCAACCCTTAAATTATAATGTTACCAAAAGTTTAGCRACATAATGAGAGGGTGCATCAACATGAACAAAATTAAAAATTCAGGCTTAATTTTCCAGCTGTTTTTTCTTTCTTTTTTTTTTAAAGCCTCTCAATCGAAGGTCATGGGACATGGTAAACTGTTGTAATGTCCCTTTAACATTGTACACTACACTTTGTTAAAAGAGGGAGTTGTTATAATCTCAAAGGGATAGAGATGTTTGTTAAAMCCAAATTTAGAACCAGTTTAAAGGAACGGAGTACTTCAATCCAGGGCATAAGATTATGGAATAATCTGGAAGATGACATTAAAAATGCCAGATCAATGAGTATATTTAAGAGAATGATACAGAATAATGTTCTGAAGAAATATGTAAATGCATGAATTGTTGTTCAAGGAGTTAAACCTTTGTATTTTTATTTTTATTTTTTTTATAAACTAAGGATTATTTTTGATTGAATTTATTTATTTGAGAAAAAAGGGCAGATATAATAAGATTTTGTCTTCTGCTTCATTTAGTTTATGATTTGTGTTTTTGTTGTATGTTGAATTTATGTTGTTTTTAAAGGAATGTAAACTAAACTAACTAATATTGTTGTATTTTTTAACAAAGTATCATGTACGCTGTGTTGTAYTTGGTGAAAATGTGCACAGAAAAAGACCGGCAAAATGATTTGTTATTTTTATTATTATTATCTGGCAACCCTGTGTCTAAWATGACACCATTGTTTAATAGTGAACAGCAACAGGACTGTTTGAATAAATGAGCTGCTGCGTTTGTCTTCCTGCTTCTTCACTCAGACACATTTAGTGATGTTAAGAGCTAGAATCAAACAACCTTTGTAAATCTTTAATGTCTGGAGTCTATTTTAAAATGATTTATATGAAACATCAAACGCTATAGCTTAAGTATTATTATGAGGTATTATTAATAATTTCCCTCACATTCAGGCGTGTGTCGTCTGTAAGCAGCTCCTGTTTGTCACGTTCGGCTCTCTGCTCAGTTTGTCAGGTTGCACCAGTGATTTTACACTGAGGTTTCTGTTTTAAGGTCAAGCATCTGAAAAAAAAAACTGTGTACAAATGTTACAGCTTAATTACTGTTCTTTAGTTGGTCTTCATCTTTCAAAGTTATGGCTCCAAAACTTTCAGTTGTGTGTACAGAAACTCCCACACAGCATACTCCTAAATAGGAAAAATAAGTAAATTATGAGTTTAGCTATTTTATTTTGTCATTATGCTCTCGTTTATGAACTTTGGGACTAATTTGAAGCTGATCTCATAACTAATATTCTTAGCTGTGAAGTTCGCCTAAAGCTAAATTAAATTTCACAGTCCAGTTAGTAATAATTTAGTGAATATTAGTATTTTTAAAATGATAATTATCGTATTTTGTAAAGAGTAATTCAAACAAAAACTGTCATTTTAAATGCTCAAACCAACAGGAGGGCTTTTCATTGTATTTCCAGGTAGTAAAACATGACTTTCACAAATACTTTATCTGTAATTATGACATTTTAAATCTAATATGATCTAAAATACAATCTTTACATCTCTGAYGTGGTCTTCAACAGGTTGAGAGTCGTGTGTCGATGCATGGATGTGTATCGCTTGGGTTGTTTTGATGTGAGGCATGAATTTATAGTGGTCAGTTTGTCATTTTAAATACATGAAACTAAAATAAAACAGAGTAAAGTCAGTTTTTTTACTTGCTATAGTGACAAATCAACTAAATTAACAATTAAATACATTAAAACAAATCAAGTGTTGTGCTATACGTTTTATTTAAGTGCCTTTTTGTAACAAATAAGATCTACAATGAGACAAATATTTTTGATATTGCTCATCTGATAATTAGGCACAAAATCATTTATCAAGACTGAAAGAATAATTTGAGAAAAGATGCAAAAAATGTAAAAACAACTTTAGGTTTCATGACATGTAAAGGCAAGAGAATACGTTTGTTTGTTAAAAGAAATATTTGTGAAATAGTCGTGTAATGTGCACTGTTTTCTTGTTTACGAAAGGATAAATAAGAGTATGTAAATGGATAACAGGTGGAACAACAAGCAGGTGATGTAAAGCCGTGTCAGTGGATGTTGGTCTGATGAGGTCAGCTGTCAGCAACACGCCTCCCTTCTGAACTCACAACCCCTACAGCATAGAATAGAATAGAATAGAATAGAATAGAATAGAATGCCTTTATTGTCATTACACGTGTGCATAACAAGATTAGAGCCACTCCCACAGTAGTGCAAATACACATTAAAAGAAATAGAAAAGAATAAAGAGTAACAGGATAAAATTAGCTAAAATATGCCTATATATCTGCATGTATGTATATATGCATATACCTACAAATATACAAAAAAAATCATCGTCCGGAAGCATCTTTGGTCCATTAAAGACTGAGATACAGGCACTTAAAAGAAACTTTGTTTGTTTGTTTGTTTACTATGTGTTTTTCAGTTCAGATCAGGCACGGAGCTAAACTGTAAATCAAGAGGGCTAATTCATTTAAAGGTCAGGCGTAGTGAGGTCATGGCGTTCACATGAGCTCCCACAGGGCTGAGTGGGAGGATTTTGGCATGTGAATGATTAGACACCCCCTACACACACACACACACACACACACACACTGAATCTGGGCCTAAAACAGACCGACAGAAAAGGTCCGCTGACCTCCTCCTCTTTTCAGTTTCTCAAAGTCTTAAACGGATTGAATCGAAATGTTCCAAATTTAATTTGACACATCAGAAGGAGGCGCCTCCTCTTCAGGGTCTCCGAGAAGCACCCGCATCTTTTGGAGCGGCACGGAGTCAGCGCTGGAGCAGACGGGACGAGCGGAGGCCCAGTCTGTTGCAGTATAAACACGGCACCAGAAAAGCACTGGAATGTCTCTGCAGTGGGAGCTGGAGTACGAGGTCAGCTGGAGGCCAAGGCAGGTGGTATACATCAGAATCAAGGCTGACATCTCAGCATTAACTTATCCAAACAAGGGGCAGCCGCTGTGTTATCCTGCCAGTGCTGGAGGAGGAGGAGCAGGAGGAGGAGGAGGAAGGAAGAGTGGAAAAAAACGGGGGGGAGTTCAAAGGGTCGGAGATGACAGGAACGAGGGGAGTGTCTCCACAAGCCAGTCATCTTTCCCCCGGTCCAACAGAGGAGGCACCAGTTAGCTGATGAGGTGAACCAGAACCATAGCAGGAGATCTGCTGCCTTGTTAAGGCATTGATCTTGATCCTGTCAGTGATCCTAAAGAGCTGCAAATCAGCGGAAAGTAATCCAAGATTATCTGTAGCTCACAGGATTAAAAAACACTGAGTTAGTATGTGGCC